GCTCCCGGGCTGCGGGCGTGCGGCGGCGGGGGGTACAAACCCATCCTTGGGTTTGGCCCTGGGTGCCCAGCAACAAGTTTTTTGTGCATCTGAATATTAGTGTGGTTGTAAAACCACTCCTATTTAACTTTGCTTGGTTTTGCAGCGCTGGCAGAAGCTGCGCATATGTGTAGGGAGGACATGCACCTGTGTTTTATTCTACTGGAGATCTTTAATTCCTTTTGCTAACGTGCAAAAGATGCCTCACCTTAGGCTACGTCCGTTATTCTGTTGTGTAATTGTGAAGGGGTAAACAGTATTTTGGGAGGGAGAGGAAGAACGCTGGCTCTTTTGGCCAAAGAAAGCATTAGGGAAGGGAAAGGTGATCATCTGATTTGTAACTTTCTCCGTGTTCAAGGGGAGGGCTCTTAACTTCCAGATTAATTTTTAGATTTAATATTTGGGTAGTAGAAGGGTGCTTGTATTACAGGTACAAAAATTAGGTTTTGAACTGTGAAAGTTTTTTGCATGTAAAATATTCACTGGGCATCTTTATCTCAGAAGTTAAAAAGTATTTCAGAGTAGAACCTCCTATAGCTCTCCTGGGGTTTTTTTGTGTTGTTTTTGGTTTTTTTTTTTCTTCTCCCCATATTTGAGCTAAATATTTGGGTAAGTTCTGCACTTGGGTATTTGGAGTGGTAGCCGAATTACTGCTCATGTCAAACGGCTGGAAGTCTGGGGGATTCCCCTCTTCGCTTCCATAGTAGTGCTGTTTGCAGTAGGACTATAAAGTGCATTTACAGGGCCTTCTCGTTTAGGGGCTGCTTGAAATTTAGCATGGCCTGGCTTCAGGTGGAAATAAACTTGATGAGTCAGATATCTCTGTCAGGCTTACCCGTATTAATGTAAAAGACATAGGTTTAGTCACCAAGGTGATGTCGCAAGTGATTAGAGAATAATGACTAAATGACACTGAAATCCATTAATAAATTTTTCAACTGAAATTCTCATGATCGATTTGGCTTTTTTCATAAAGCTAATGATTCTAACGTAAATGATGCTAACTGCTTATAGCGCCAGAGTGGGATGCTTTATTTGTGACTAGCTGTCAATGTTGCATCAGAAACCTTAAGTCTTTCCTGGTTTTGCACGCTTGTTATCTTCTAACCTTTATTCTGTCTAGCTGTTGTATTTGATTTGTATCTAGATGCTCCCTGTATACATGCGTACACTAATGTATGATTATGTTTGCAAAGTGTTTTGAGATCATGTTTTAGTCATGCCTGCTTTTTTATAATTGCATAAAAATACAAATATTTTGACATGAGTTGTTATGAAATGAATCATTAAAGGAAACATGTTTCAAAAACCCGCAACTGAGCAAAGAAACAATAGCAGTCCTTAAAACTAAAGCACAGAATCCCTAATTGATGAACAGGGCTTTTTGCCTTTTTTTGTTGTTTTGTTCAGATAGATTTTGACTCTTTTGAATTCTTGGTAATCCATTTTCTGTCTAAAGATGATTTTGCTGTCAGTGATGAAAGTGGATGCAGAAATAGTAATTGCAGTTCTTCCAAAAAGTCCTAAAAGCAGCACTTCTCATCCTTATCCCTGTGAGGAGTGGAAGTATGGAGTTATTGTTGCAATGGAGTCCTGACAGCTCCCAAGAGTTGTTACTGGAATTGCACAACTCTGTTTTACCACAAAGGGTTAATTTTAAATCAGTTTTTTTGTTTATTTGTTTTATCTGTATCCAGTTAAGGTTAAATACATTGCAAACTTTGCATATATCCTTGCTGTGCATTTAATCATGGTAATCGAACACCAGTTTAAGGGATTTTTAGAGTAATTTGCTTTTGAATTGTTCTGGGATTGTAACTGGTTTAAATAGAGAATAACTGTATAGTAAAGACATTTTCAAGGACTAGGAGTGAAACTGTTTAGCCTTGGCAGTTCATTAAATAGCAAATTATAAAATATGCGTATGTGTTAGTTAAATGTCTCGTAAACTGTTCTAAGCTTGGGTAGTTTTCAAGGGGGATGTGAAGAGGACAGAGGAGACTGACCAATTTGTTTCAGCCTGGAGATGATTCAAGGTGTCAGGCTTAAAACCAGCTGATCTTGAGACCGATAACTTGGAATTGCTCAAGAATTTGAGTACTGCGGGTTTTTTCAGTTTGAGCTGTTCTTATATACATGATTGGAAGCTGGGGATGTTATTGACCTTTTTGAGTCTGAGGGTTCTCAGTCATTATCCAGTAAACCAGGCTCTGAAAGAGTCTTACTGCTTTAAAAAAAAGGTGTTGCCAAAACTTGCGAGCATTGTGTTGCCCTGGATATTAGCTATTAGCACTACTAAAATGCTTCAGAATTTGTAGTTTCCGTTGTGCAGAAGAAAAGTTCCAAGGCTTCCCTAGACAGTCGTATAGTCCTAGAGAAAATTCTTTCATTTTTACAGACTGGTAGAGAGTTGTGTGCCCTGTTGTCAGCCTACAAGGGTAGAAATTTAGGAGGAAAAGTAACTATGTGTACTGTGGTTTTTGCCTAGCTCCAGAACGATTTGTCAGGCTGCAGTTGTTTAGTCCTTGCAATATAATTTAGACTAAGCAATGTCAACGTTCCAGGGACACATCTAGATTTTTGCAGTAGCTTCAGAAGGTGCCAGGTTTTGTAACTTGTGGCATTTTTTTTCTTGACAGTTTGTCCTGGTAAACTAGTGGTAGTGTAGTGCTGTTTGCTTGCCTTCTGCTGCGGGGCCTTGTGCCAGGACCTGTCAATTCTGCCGCCTCCTCTTCTACCCTCTCTCCCCCAATTCATCCCTGTTCTGTCTGCCCCCCCACCCCATCCAGGTTTGTTTTCAGCCAGCTCGGGGCCTGGCCGTGGGATGGTGCCGGTGACAGGAGGGAGGAAAGAGAGGTAAATGGGATTGCAGCAGCCTGGCTTGAGAAGCTGTAGGATCTCATCCTCAGGATATAGTTTGATGTTTCACTGATTCCTGGAAGCAGTTGGTCCTGCACCCTTCCAGTTCCTCCCGTGCTTTGCCCGCTTCCTTCTCCTCTCCCCTGTGTCAGGTCCAACCGGTTGTGTGGGGCCCCCAGGAGTTGGTCGAACCGGTTGAGTTGATAACTGTTTTTGTTTTTTTTTTTTCCTTTGGGGTGTGAGTGGCCAGAGCAATTGGAAATTGTGAGTAGATGGCAGTGGTGGTCCTTGTGGCAGGCAGCTTGCCATTAGGTATGATTAGACGTTATATGAAACAGCTTGAGAATTCAGCCTATGCTTATTTCTGGCTGCTAACCAAAGTCGATATTATATAGAAGTTTATTCTATTTTGAAAGAATGCTGTCTATACAGAGAATGCTTTTTAACTTGTAGCTAAGGAGCAGCATGAATATTGCAATACATAAGAGAAATGAAATTTTTTCCTAGGCAGCAATTTTTTAATTGCTTAAGCATTTCAGGCTGTTAGGTTTCTCTTGACTTGTTTGACCTCTGTTCCAAAAATAATTTTAATTTTAGTAATGTCTGTAATAACAATATTTAGTTTTGACTTAAAACGTAAATTACATTTTAAGAAGAAAACCCATTTCAGCCAAAGAAGCAGCTTTTCCTTGTGAGAAAGGGTGGGTGGGTGATGTACTTGAGTACAAGTTGCACTGAAGTTCTAGGTGAAAGAGCCAACAGACACGGTGTGCGTGGTGTTACACTGAGAGAAGCGTGGTGGATGTGTGCTTTTTATTTGCTGGTTTTACAGTGAATTGGATCATTGTGGTTTGTGTCACAACAAGAAGCTGAGATTATCAGCAGGATTTGAATCAATAAACCACGTGTCACTGTTTTGATAATCTTATTGTTTTGTTTTTCTCTCTTCTCTATTTTGCTGAAAAGTATGGGAGGCACAATACCGCCTGCTCCAGCCAATGCCTCCACAGAGGCGACAAGTAAGGTGAGATGTGAATAATTTATCATTGAAAACTAACATTTGTACTCTCTGCAATAATTACTGAACAGGAGGAGGGGAAAAAATTGCTGTCAATTTTCACTCAAATAGAGTAGGTGAATATGCTAGGGTGAGTGATTGGGAGAGTGCATCCTGGAGCCTGCCCTTTGCATGTTGTGGATGACTTGTTACAGATGGCTTTCTAGTTTATTTCAAGTGTTACCGTGCTCCATTTGCCTAATACTGAATGCCTGATGTTCTGTGCAATGCAAATGCCAAACAGAATCTTGACACCTCTTTTTATGTTCTCGCTGTTTGTACACCTCTTCTGTAGTCATTAGTGGATTAAACTATAATCTTTGCATGACAAGAAGTATTACTCAGCATGATAGGTAATGAACTGAACAGTTGAACTCTCAACTTTTTGAGGCAGTTTTGTTGAAGCGTTTTTCTCTCTTTTTGTTCATCTGTTTTAAGGGAGATAATAAATTTGGCTTGTAGATATTTATAGCAGAATTTTTCCAAGCTTTTAATTCTTTTGGAGAAAGTAGAATTCTGTTTTCGGGTTTAACTGGCTAGTTAGAATTGTATGGAGGGATTGTGTATATGTAGTGAGTGTAGTCTGTGACACTGAGCATGAAGACAAGCATCTTATGTCTGTGATAAAGCAGGACGTGCTAAGTTATGGAATTCAGAGGAAATGAGTAACGTAGTTAGAAGCTTGAAAAAACATTCTAAGCATGTATAAGTGGCAAAGATCTCGGCAAATGAAGCAATATTTTGATCATTGACAACAGATTATTGCTCACTGCCGAAGTACCTTAGTTTAATAGTATTAGATTGAGAGAATTTTTAATCCAGAGAATGTGTGAGGGAAGGCAGGAAGATTGGAAGGATTGGTTAGTATTGATTGCAAAACTGGTTCTGAATCAGGTATTATCTGGATTATTTGGTTTTGATTATTGAATTACACTATTTGATGGGCAGGCTTTACCAATAATAGAAGTTCTTGAGTCAAAATTTGGGCTCTGAATTATTTGCAAGCATGATAGACTTAATCCGAGAGGAGGAAAAAGGAGATTTGTGTCTTAAAAATAAAACAGTTTAGCCATAGAGCAATGTGATGCTTTGAAGATTAATTTTGGATTTTCTGATGCATTGTTATTTATTAGAGTGGGAATAGAATATCAGTCAGAAATAATGTATACTTAAAAATACATCTCTTTCAGGGCAAAGCAGAGGAACAGCCAGAGGAGCCAGTTAAATCACCTGAACCAGAAAGTGAGGAGAGCGACTTAGGTATGGAAAATAGATGACTTTATCATGTTTCACCAATTTGAACATGATTCTGGAAATCCTCTTGCTGTTTGTAGATGGACCTTAATCTTGCTTTTTATTTTTCCCCCAGAAATTGACAATGAGGGAGTGATTGAACCGGACAATGATGACCCTCAAGAAATGGGAGATGAAAGTGTGGAGGTAAGCACAATATTTTCAATGTTTGTGGCGGCAGGCAAGATAAGGAGAGGCTTAGTTTAGTCAAGGATAGCTGAAGGTGCATGAGTGCTATGTTAGCTAGATAGCCAGCTGTTGCTTGGGTTCTTTTTCTCTTAAATAGAAAACTGACTGGCTTAAAACCATAGTCTTATTCAAGGTTAGAGTCCATCAAAAAATTCAATCAGGAAAATCAGGTCAGAAAACAAAAAAAAGTATCAAATCACCCATGAAAACTAGATATGTAGAAATCTGCCGTTACTCAACTTAGCTTTGGAGTTTTTTCAGCTAAAAATAGTGGTGGCTAATGTCTCTAAGGTGAAAACAAGAAGTTATAATTTTTTGAACTAGGATTTCAATGCAAATTAAAAACAAGATTCTGGAATTGGAAAATTGGAGTTCCTTTCTTTGGTGCTGTCTTAGCTGGTAATTCTGGCCTGGACTACAGCTTTTGGGTTTTGTGTGTGTTTTTCATTTTCTTCGTTTTCTTAGGTAACTGAAGAGATGATGGATCAAGCTAATGAGAAGAAGATTGAAGCGATAAATGCTCTAAGTGAAGGTGATAAATTATTTTTTAGTACATATTCAAGGACATTAGGTTTGGGTCTCCTTTTAAAAAAAGGAAACAAATATCTTGGACCAAGGAAGAGAAAACTCGTTTCCTGTTGGATACCCAAAAAACTATCTAGAGCCTGAAAGCTTCTTTAGGTGCTGTCTTCCCAACACAGCTGTAGTTTTGGGCAGGGCAGGGAGGGAATGAGGTACTGCAGTGTCTTAATTACAAGTTGATCGTTACAGTACTTACCTGCATATTGCAATTAGTGTCTCTAGTGGTTTGTCTTAATGTAGTGAAAAGCTGTGTAATAGAGATGACTTCCTGTTTGATTGGATACAGAGTTAAATGTACAAATTAAACTGGGAAAAGTCTCTCCTCCCCTCCAGCATTAATTTTTTAATTTTGTACTTCAGTAACATAGCAAGAGGAAGAAATTGATTTTTCTTTGTTGATAATGTTCCGTTTCAGAGGTGCCTAGGGAAATAACACTCTGTAAGGCAGATTTGGCAATTTCAATGTAACTTCATTGCATAATGATTGAAACTTTACTGGTACTCATATTTAGGTGAACTTCAGAAGGCAGTCGACTTGTTCACAGATGCTATCAAGCTGAATCCTTGTTTGGCCGTCTTGTACGCCAAGAGGGCAAGGTGAGTCATTATAAACTATTGATTCATGTTTCTGCCTGTGCTGTTGTTTTCCTGAAGGAACCTACACATAATAGCAGCTTGAGGATCTGTGTAAACGTAAACCATGTGAGGGAATGACAAAAGTACACTTCATGCAATTTCTCTTATTTGTGATTAACCAGATTTGCTGAAGGAGACGTATAAAGAATCTTAACAGAGTAAGTAACAGAATGATGTTCCAGAATGCGTTGTAGTAGTATGGCTTTTAGTATGTTAAGTTAGAATGATGCTGGATAACAAACACTTGTAGAATCTGAAGTTTATTCTGGCATTAAGATGATTGAAATCATGTCCTGTTTAGATGCAAAGTTAATTGCGGAACATGTGAATTCTCTCTCTGTTGTACCTGCTAAATGAGTTTGTTCACTGTCAGGTAGACTTGTTTCGGTTCATCAGTCCTACGTTTGAACAGGACACACCTATTTCTCAGTCCGTTCAGTACCCACCTTACTACTAACTACATTTACCAGGCTGCAGATAATGCATTGGGAACACTGTCAGAGTTGATGTGTGGTAGCCCTAACTTCATAATACGCAAACATATTTATCTTCCCTAATTCTTGAGGAAGGCTGGGCAAGTATGGTTTGCAGAAACAGAAGTTCCCACAGGTTTGGGTTTTTTTCCTACTTTTACACAAAAAAAAAAAAAACCCTAACCATGAATGATTTGATAATTTAGTGGATCTTTTCCGTAGCAAGATATAATTTAAAGAGATGTTTGGCTTCTGGTGACTTTCTTGTGATTAGTTATTGTCCTTTACCTGTTCCATTCTAGTACATTTTAACTGGTACGTGCCTTGCTGTGTTTTCCTTTCCATATCAAAGTTTTTGCATGTAACACCGCTTGTGTACCTTAGTACACTGTTGTTGCCATCATAGTAGTATTTTTAAAAGCTCTGGAGTGCCATATGGTCTCGGGACTGGGATTAACAATGAAAAATGAGGGTTAGGAGAAGTTATGAAGTTACCTCAATTTGGTCTATTGTAGAAATAAGCAAACAATATGTCAGGATATTGTAAAACCTGCACTGTAACAGCAGTGCTGATCAAGTGCTGTGAGTAATCCACCCCTCCTGTGGACTTGGGTTTTGGTTCTGGGGGGAGATTGTGTGTTTGGGAGACCAGGATTTTTGTGCACCCAGCAAAATTGGAACGTCTCTTATTGGTGAGGTGTAGTTTAGAGGCAATTTCCTGATGCGTTGTCCACCTGTTTGTTTCTAGAAGACAATGTGTGACTTTGTGGTTACTTTATAACAAGCCTTAATGGTGAAGGCACTTAAAGGCACTCTAGTTGGTGATACATTGTTTTCAAGTAGATGTAAAAGGGCAGAAGTTCTGACTTAGAGTATTTTGAATATCGAATGCTTTTGTCAGCTCAGGAATGTGGTGGGTTTTTTTAGTGTTTCCTTCAGAGATTTCTTAATTTGAAATGCCTGAACCTCCTAAAGTAGTGCCCTACTGGTTAATGTGATATGCTAGTGCATTGTAAAATTTGCAATTATTGCACTTAACTGACAAAGGATTTGGGCTACTTTCTGGGTTTGTGTTTTGTTTTGCCTCTTAATTTTGATGACTCAGCTCCTATCTCCTTTTGTGGTTCCTGATGATTCTAGCTGTTGATCCTTGTAGCCTGTATGATAACTCGTGCTTTCCTTGTCCTACTGTTTTAAAGACTATGTAATGTGGCATGCGTAATGTTATTTTGTTCAAATTGCTAGTTGCCATTGGCTATAGACTCCAAATACCATGGAATTGAACTGTCCTTCACATTTATGTATCCTTTCCTTGTGCACTAAAGTTATTCTTGCTGGCAAGACTTGAGTCTGAACAGGAAATGCTTTTGCTTCTTGCTAATGATTCACCTGTAGTGGTGGGGGAGGGAAAACTTCATTTCAGTGACTTCATTATCACTATTAAATCTTTTTGAACTCAGCTCTTCAAATGTATTATCTCACTAGCTGCCTGTTAGTCATCCAAAATTATTTCCAGCTTAAGTTAGTAACTTGGTATTTCAATATGTACAATAAATGTTCTTGTTCCCACAGTGTTTTTGTGAAACTACAGAAGCCAAATGCTGCCATTAGGGATTGTGACAGAGCCATCAAGATTAATCCTGATTCGGCACAAACCTACAAATGGAGGGGGAAAGCACACAGGTAAAGAACTGCACCTGTATTTGTTATATTCTTTATTTACCGGGGGGGAATAGTTTTGTTTATGCATCCTCTCTTACTCTGTGTCTCTGAACTGTCTGTCTTGTACCCGAGAGCAGCAGTCATGAGCCAGGAACCCATTGTGCTGCATGTATGGGTTACAGGAAAGAAAAGGTGATGGTGATTTATTGATGGCAATTTAGGAGTAGTCCTTCTGGCACTGTCTTTTGTTCCTTTTTTTTGTTCAGACAGGTCTTCTAATGGCTTACTGCTGTTCTGAATAGCATATTCTGATCATTTGCTAAAGATTATGAGTTCTAGGGCTGTGGGTTTTGTTTGTTTGGAAGTCTTTTGTTTTCACTTAGTTCGATTTTTATTTACCAATGTATAATTCTTAAACATTTCTCTGTGGCGCTTATTCCACTAGATCCTAGAGCTCTTTTACATAGCAAATTAGACTGCCTAGTTATTAAGGGAACCATTTGTGGCAGTTGAAGAGTGGTATAAAGCAAACAGTGTAATAATTTAAAATGACATTAGGCCAGTGTGCATCCCTCCTAACTATTGTTAAGCTTTTTTTTTTTTTAAATGACAATAAATCAGCCAAAAAAAAGTAAGGTGACATTTATGGTCTGTATAAAAGTGGAAGGAGTAAATGCTAATAGAACTTACAAAAAAAGAGATTTTAAACAGTGTTCAGAGAGTAGTTTGTTAATGTCTACAGTTTTAGTAAGTGACACAGAGCCTAAGAGTGAGAAGACTGGAGCATAGTTTAGATTCTGTCTGTAAGCAGAAGTGCTTTGACCCTTTAGTAATACCACCATTTGCTAAAATTTTTCATTATCAAGAGTTTGTATAAATAATAGTTAAGAAGTGTGCACAGTAGCTTGTATGACCTCTTCAACTAAGACATGGTGCATCCAGTTAGTTAGGATGGTTGAGCGCTGAGTAAAGAGGGTCCACTTAAGCTTGAGGTAGTAGTGGTGTAGACTTGAACAGAATATTGATTGTGTGGTTTTACACTGAACATGTGCCTAGTGGTGCAGAGTATTTTTACACTAGTGTGCTTCACATGTTTAGGTAGGGTACCTTCTCCCTGTTAGACCTTTCTTGTTTATAGCAAACAATGGTGCTAGCTGATTGAGGGTTTTTTTTCCCCTCACTGTTACTTCAAGCAAAAGTTATTGTAGGGGTATGAAGCAAGCAAGTATCCTCTAATGGCATTGTAGTGTGCAAGTTACAGAAAACACCATGATTATTAAAGTTCTGTAAGTCTGTATAGCTGCAGGTGAAAATACTGAACGCCACATGGTAGTAAATATTTTAAAGAACTATGAGAGTCTAGTTGGCTTTTTCCTTCTGAATGTTGGTGTCTTCTGAATTCCAGACTTCTGGGTCACTGGGAGGAGGCTGCTCGTGATCTTGCGTTAGCTTGTAAACTGGATTATGATGAAGATGCTAGTGCCATGCTGAAGGAGGTGCAACCAAGAGTAAGTGGGGAGGCATCATGGAGGTCCCTCCTCTATTTGTTTGAGTGATATTGCTGCCTTCGCATTCTTCCAATATACATTGTTTTGTGGGAATGTGTTCTAGTGTCATCTAACACTTCAAACTGACTTTATAAATACTTCTGTCTTCAGTCACAGCTGTTTGTGGCTGTGTGTAAAGAAATTGAGTCTCTGGGGCTGAGCATGTAACTGAACTATGAAATAATATGTTCTTTTTCAAAATCTTAGCAGAAGAATTCGAAGCAGTTAAAATTTGCCAGGCATTTAGAATCTAGACTAAAAACATTCAGAAGAGCAATAGAACGCTGATAAGGGATTTTTTGGAGGATGTTTCTGAATAGATCAAAGATTCATCCCTAACATGTTTTACAAAGGAAGCATTCTTTGCTGTGATTTGTACTTTCATTAGTCTACCCCATGAGGGCAGCATAATCTCTGTAAGACTGGTTTTCAGCTTTTCTCAAGTGATTGACCCCAGCGTTCTTCTAAGGAAGAACTTATGTGTAAAAAATGTAAGGCTGTTGATAGCAGGCTTTCTTTTTCGTCTGTTTTGCATATTCTTTTAAAGTGGTTGACAGACCACAGATTGCAGCTATTGCATTGTATTGGGTTTATGTGGCAAGGTTGGGAAGAGGTGGAGACTGCAGGGTTGGCCTCATGTAATAGGAGACACGGGGCTGCCCCTGTGTCAGAGCCAGTTGCAGCTGGCTCCAAAGCAGACCCACTGCTGGCCAACGCTGAGCCAGTCAGCGATGCCGGTGGTGCTTCTGTGATAACATATTTAAGAAAGGGTTAAAAAATGAGCACAACAGCTGTGTGAGAGAGGGGAGCAAAGGAAAAAAAAAGTGGGAGAAGCAACCCTGCAGATACCAAGATCAGTGAATAAGGAAGGTGAGGAAGTGTGCTGGGCACGGGAGCAGAGATTCCTTTGCAGCCCGTGGAGAAGACCGTGGTTAAACAGTTTGTCTTTCTTGAACCCATGGAGGTCCATGGTGGGGCTGATAGCCAGCCACCCTGCAGCCCACAGAGAACCCCAGGCCAGAGCAAGTGGATGTGCCCTGAAGGAAGCTGCAGTCCATGGAGAGTCCACACTGGAGCAGGCTCCTGGCAGAAACTGCAGCCGGCAGAAGAGCCCACGCAGAAGCTGCAGCCCGTGAGGGCTCAATGATGGAACAGTCGGTTGCTTAAGGACCGTACCCGGTGGGGAGGACCCGCACTGGAGCAGTTTGTGAAGGACTGTATCCTGTGGGGGGGACCCCACGCTGGAGCAGGAAAAAAGTGTGAGGAGGAAGAGTGGCAGAGGTGCAGTGTTATAAACTGACCACAGCCCCCATCACCCTGTGCCACTTGGCGTGCAGGAAGGAGGTGGAGGAGTGGAGAAAGGAGGAATGAAGTTCAGCTTTGGGAAGAAGGGGCATGGGGGGAAGGTGACTTTAGTTTTGTCTTTGTTTCTTTCTTATCCTGCTCGGTTTTGAACTGGCAATAAATTATATTAATCTTCCCAATGTTGAGTTTCTTTTGCCTATGATGGTAGTGGATGAGTGATGTCCATGTCTTTATGTCAAGCCAGGACCTTCTCCATCTTATTTTCTCTCCCTGCCCTGTTGAGGAGGGGGATTGAGAGAGCATCTTAGTGAGCATCTGGCAGCCAGCCAAGCTTAACCCACCACATCTATTCCTGTGTCTAATAACTTCAGCTTGCAGTTTTCCTACCATGACTTTGTAGGACACAGTCTCCAGCAAAACAACAGTGGAAACCATCTTACAACCTATTTGTTGTCTGTGTTGGAGAATATTGATCTGTGGTAAATGTAATTAGGTCTTGGGTTTCAGCCTCTTTTATAAGAGGTATACTTAATGCTTGGCTGAGGGGGAATCTTTTATTTCCCAGTTAATCTGCCCATGCACAGAAACAGTAGAGTACGTCTGTGATACATTGATGTGTAGTTGCCAGTTGTATGGGAATTTGTGTATGTAGCTCAAGGAAAAATGTATGATCTTTTCATGGGTGATCTTTATCTCTAATAAGTGAAGATGATACGTTCACCTAATTTATTCACTTCCAGCTTTCCTAGCACTTTTAGTTGTAGCACTTTCCACTGAAAGTCTGAGTCAAATTCTAAAAACGCTTAGTTCATTTTGAGAAATATTTAGAAACAACAAAACCCAAAGCTTTGGAAACTCTTTATGTTCCATTAAAAAAAAAAAAGAAAATGCCTACTTTTCTCTTAATGAGCTATTGAATGGCCGTATCATCAGGTTCTGATAACACGTACTGCATGTAAAGTTAAGTTGTATCGAAACTTCACTACTTATAAAATCATTTCTTTGTTTAAAGAGTGTTCTGAAAGAATAGAATAGTATCCATTGTAGTTAGTAGGGAGTATCTCTGGTCTTGAACCTTGATTTTGCTATGTCCTTTTAGTTACAGGAGTGTTACAGGGTAACCATCATACACAATTTATGAAATCATGAACCATTTTTTAATGCTATATAAGGATACATTCTGGTTTCAGGAAAGCAGTGCTGCGATTAGCGTTCTATTGTTATAATGAGCCCTGAGGGAGGAGTCTTGGGGAGTTCATTGCTAACTACTCTCTTCTGCTGGGGCTGTAGATTTGATAGACTTGAGGAAAAGCTAATGATAGGAAGCAAACTTTTTCCCCACCAGCCCTTTCTTGGTTTGGTTCAGGAATTCTTTGGTCTGCTTATATCTAGTTGTATATGCTGCAAAGGCATCTGGAACAGCAATAACACTATCTAAGAAGTGTGTGTGTGCAGGGGGAATTAGACTTCCTGTTGTTGTGCCAGTGAAAATTCCCTTTTCTGGGACAGATGCTGGTTTCAGGAGAAGTAAATATTTCAACATAAAAGCACGAAGCAACATGGAATGATAATGGGTTTAACTATGAAATAGAAATGGTTCTAACTATGGTGCAAGTCCCAGAGCTCTGTAGCAAAAAAGTATACTACAGTGCATGTTTTGGTGAATCCAGTTAGGGCTGCATAGACAGGAGTAACTGATTGCTGTAGAGACAAAGTGGCAAATGGCTCCTAAAACAAAAGGGGCCTTTAGGATGTGAAGTCAGATCTTATTTTTAAGAACTGGTAAAAGCAGATGGTTGTGTTACATGTATTTTGTGTTGAGATATGTTGCGTGATATGCTAGAAATGTGTGTGAAATCTTGGTATTCTATTGTAATAGGCTCAGAAAATTGCAGAACATCGCCGAAAATACGAGCGGAAGCGTGAAGAAAAGGAAATCAAGGAAAGAATGTAAAGAGTGAAGAAGGCACGGGAGGAGCATGAGAGAGCACAAAGGGTGAATACTTAGGCTGTAATATTTCTTAAGAATTTGGAGAGCATCTAGTTATCTGGTGTCATAGTTATTTTGGTTAAAATGAATTGCAGAGAAGAATTCCTTTCATTTTAAGTCTTAGAATTAAATTTTAGAGAGTTGATTTCTGTCTTGGTTACTTGACCAATAATGAAATCTTGAGAAGAGGGCGTTGTACTACATCTGCTTTTACTGCTTATGACAAAAAACAGTCTCTGGAATCTCTACTAATCCTGTATTTCAAGAAGTCAGTTATTGTGTGACTGCAGCAGAATAGTTTTCACTTACAGTACTTAGATCTCCTGAAGTGGGAGGTTTGAAATTCAGGATAATACTTTGCTTCTCTTCCTGACTTCCTGACACAGTTTGCTTGCTTTTTCTTCATGCTTTACTTATATGTTAAAATACATTGAGGGTGGGAATTAGTTCTAAAAATGTAAGCTGAGGAGCTGAAATAAATCATACAGTTCATATTCAGTAAAAACATACTCCGCATAACTTAACCTGCAAAAACATACTAAAGTAAGAGTAGACATTGCTATTTCTTGCCAGTGGTTTTATACATAGTGAAGTGCTTTGTTTATTGCAATAGCCTACCTGCCTGAAAAAAATAGTCTCAGCTATTTTTTTTTCCTCCTAAAACCAGTTGAGCGGTAGAAAACAGGCTGCAGTTCCATTGCTTTGTGTGGAATGATGTGCTTTCATCTGCAGGAGGAAGAAGCAAGACGACAGGCTGGAGGAGCTCCGTTTGGTGGTTTCCCAGGTATTTTATTCTTAAGCACCAGAACTTGAGGCAGAGGTGACTGCTGATTCCATGTGGAGTATTATAACCACAGGTTTTATGGCATTTCTCAAGACAGAGAGAAAAATATTTTATGAAGTTTAGAACTTGTCTACAAGTAACTCTTTTGAGCACTAGTGGGAAGATGGGTGGAATTCTTTCTCTTAAAGAAGGTTGCTAGGTAGCAAGTAGAGGGAAGACAGAAATCCACAACAATAGATAACAGAAGGAAAGGACTTAGGTCTGAGGAAACAAAGATGTAGTATTGACTTAGTAATGTGTGCCTGCTTAAGAACAATAGGTTTAAAGTTGAAAATTTGGATTGAATATTAGAGAAATCTGTGCAAGCTGTTGTTGAACAGAATAGTTTCTCAAAGGAGATAATGGACTTTACCTTATAGCTGTCCTTGAACAGTTCCATGAAAATCGGGCTTTCCATGTTGTTTTTGGGTACAATAAATTGGGGAGAAACAGGAGTAAGTACTAGTGCTCTTGTAGACTGAAATGTAGTTGAGGTAGGCTACATGCATGCTCCAACTGGATCAGCTTGCCAGGGGAACCAAATAGAGACCATATCTACCCTGCTCAGCGCAGCTGGGGTAGCTGCTGACTAAGGATTCAGAAACAGAACCTCAAGCATTTTGCTTGAGGGATTTTTTTTTTATTTTTTTTTTTAAATCTTTGATGGAACAGTTTTTTCAAACCTAAGGTCCCTGCCAAACGTGGAAGAACATACTAGTATTGATCTGCTTTTGCTCTGAATTGATCGCCCCTGGCATTCAAACTCCTTATGTTCCTGGGCTTGAGGCCTAGCTGGTTTAAGTTAACCAGGAAAATAACTGCATCTGCATACAAGGTGCTAGAACCTGACACTCATTACAAGCCTTCTATTCAATTAGGTTAAAAACACGGATGAAATAAGATTCAGGCCTTCACAGAAAGAGAAGGTGAAGACCCCACTTTCCATTCAGTGGACCAGCTGTAGCCTTATGGAAGACATGGCTTTAGAAGCATGACGAAGGAAGTGTGTCTTGGTCTCTGTCAGTGAGCCTCCTGTATAGATGAATTAAATGTTTTTCATCATGCATTCTTCTTGCCTTGGGTTTTCAGGTGGGTTTCCTGGGGCTATGCCTGGAGGTATGCCAGGTCTGAATGAGATTCTCAGTGATCCAGAAGTCCTTGTGGCCGTGCAGGTGAGTATTTGTTAAAATCAAAGCTAAGTGTTGTGAACAAGGGAAGAACAGCACCTGTGAGCTAAAGGAAGGAAGAAAGGTGTGACCTTCTGGATAGCAGTGGGATGCTTACTTAGTTCTGTTGTGAAATTCTCTCCTTGTGTGGGCACCAGACTGTCTGGAATTGATAGCTGTTTTTCAGACTGATGGGAGCTTAATTAAAGATGCCTCCCTCTGCCCCATACTTGCCTATGATAGGCAAAACTGTGTGCTCTAAAAAGTTCTTAATCTCTTTTGAGTCTCTTGAATGGTTGTTTTCCACAAGGTAGAATGCACACGTGTTGTGGCAAGATAATTATGCACAAACAAAAAATGATCATTAATATTGTTGCAACACAATGTATTACAGTAATACTGAGATGAGTTACCTTTCTGTTAGGGGGTTAAGTGTTTGGATTTTGCCAGAGGCCAAGTAGTATCAGAATAGTTCTGCATTATGGCATTTTCTAAATTCATATTCAGAAAGCTTACTTTCCCAGTGGGCTTAACTAGTTGCTCACTTAATTAATTGCTCGGTGTCATGGCTACTTTTACACAAGAAAAGTATTCCAGTAGATGAAATAGAATATATCTGACAATACCAGTTTTAGGGGCAGGTTGGCTACGAAAAATCTGAGCTATGTAGTTGTATTTGCATACTAATATGATCAAGTATTAGAGTGTCTTGTTACTTTTTCTGGCTTGGTGTGGTTAAACTTGGGTTACGTGTTGTTCTCAGCTCATTGAACAGCTGTGATCCCCATCTAAATAAAACCGTCACCAGAGGCCCTCATTTGGTATGCCCTGAAATCGCAAAAAAGGCATCATTTTCCACGCAAGAGTTCATGGGTTCTCTTAATGGTTGCTAGTGTTTGGAAACACACCTTTACTTACGCTGCCACAGTCAGCAATTTTGACTTGCATACAAACCGTCCAAAAAAAGCCCATGGCTTGTAGCTGTATTCATTACCTGGCTAACTTATGCTGTAATACAGGAGTTTGAAATTAGAGTTGCTGAAAACAGAGCATTGAGGTGCAGCTAAATATTAAGGGCTTATCACATGCCTTTAAGAAGACTCCACTGCATGCTGACTTTATGTACCCCAACATATTGTAGGACTCTGTTGCAAGAATGTGCATTGATGGTGTTTTCTGATAATGCAGGAAGGCTTTGACACGTAGAACCTGTCAGCAAAGCCTTGAGTCTCTTGCTGACCTCTTTGTACAAACTTTACATCTAGATATGATTTATTCAGTATTTCACCTTTGTCTGCCCTGCCACCTTTTCCTAAACTACGTTCTGGTCCTCTCTGAATTGGCGATGTAAACTCTAGTCTTAGAAGACAGTAGTTTCTACTGCTTGGCTTCTGCTCAGTGCAGCTATGGAATATGTTGATGGATAATGGTAGCTGGCAGCTATTACATAGGTTATTGGAGGTGTTACGAAGAAATTAAGATACTGAATCACAGAAGTCTCCCAAATCACTAATCTTAAGATACTATTTTAACTGACAGTATGTAGAGGCTTTTCATAGTGAGGAGTTATTGCTGAAGCTGGAGTATTCTGAGAGTAAAGACCTTCTCACTCTCTTTTTGGACTTAGTGACTATTGTCTCGTCTTTGAGACTATTCTCCATGAGCTAACATTTGAAATATGCCTGAGTTTGTTAACATCTTGGTAAACCTTACAACTACATGTGCCTGAACATGAGCTAGATTAAACTGGTTATGCTGTCAACGTCAGCTTGTCATCTGTAAGAGCAACCAAAGAATCAGATATGGCTGCCTATGGAAATGTTTGTAGAAGTTGTTGCTCATCATTGGCATAAAGATAAGAATCTCTGCAAACTAGTATAAACACTTCTTTCTTGATGATTGCAGGTTCCTTTACCTGAAGATTTACTGTGTTCAGGATACTTTGATTCTGCCTCTCTTCTGCCTCTCTTCTGCCTCTCTTCTGCCTCTCTTCTGCCTCTCTTCTGCCTCTCTTCTGCCTCTCTTCTGCCTCTCTTCTGCCTCTCTTGAAATTGGAAATTGAAGAAGTCTGAGGTTGTGAAAGTCATCTTTTCTTTGCATAGGAATACCATAAAGTGGAGAAAATATATCTAATGTCTGTTTCCTGAACTTCAGCAACCTATTTTTCATAGATTTTGCAAATTCTGTTTTGTGAGGAAGACAAAACCACTTGCAAATCCTTCTAACAAAGGATGTGACTTGACCCTTGGTGCCTAACAGGTGTAAAACAGGACTGAACCACGTGGGTGATTTCAGTGGAGTCCGCCTACCAAATGCATTTCTGGATCATACTTGTTAAAACAGCTTTTGTCTGTGTCTGATGCTAGGATAGATACAGGATCGTGGTGGTGTAGCACAGACAGCTCTGAGGACATCAGATGGTTTTTGATGGTTTCCAAATAATACATCTACAGTAGCAATGGGCTAGAAGTCTAGGGAAGATTGTATCTTTTAGTGAAACTACTTAAATGTGCTAGAAAGAACAGCAAATTAAATTGCAGCTGATGCAGATGATATGTATTGGACATAATGAACTGCTTGCACTTTAGCTGAATTAAAGAAATCTTGAATCTCTGCAGAAGTTGCTTATAATGGAAAGATTTTTCCTGGCTAAGATGTAAAGTCAGTATATGCAGACTTGTTAAAGGGCACTGTCCAAAACATACACACACAAAATGAATAAAACCAATTCTGGTTCAATGGCGGCCAAAGGTGTGCTAGAAGTACAGGGGGGGAAAAAGTGTTAATGTTTCTCATACTAAATAGAGAAGATGAAGTTATTTTTCTGACCACTGACTTTAATGTATATGTGAATGTTATTTATCAACTTCAACATACTAGTGTGGTGAGAGGTAACAAGGGTCTCTTCCAATTGTGATTTCTGGGCGGCGGTGGGGAATGATTGAGAATTAGGTGCATTTTTAAAAGCCAAACATTGCTACGTCATCTGCTCACAGTCCAGCAGGTTAGAGTTTCTGCTGCTAGAGGGAAAAGGGCTGAAAGAGATGAGCAGCAGCTGTTTTGGGGAAAAAGAGCTCTTATCTTGTTCCCCTACTCACACATTGCGCTCTTACTGTAACAAGTTCAGTAATGACTCTGGTGTTTACTGACGCAGCATTAACAGCATGCACTATATCATTGGGTTCTCTTGAGAGACCTCTTGCCCAAAACTCTAATCTAGTTTTGTTATATGAAAAGCTGCGCAAGACTAGATTTGTGTTGGAACCACCTAACCACTAACTTCGGTAGACTTGTTTTATAAATGCCCTATTTTTTTTGTTTTTGTCCTGCAGGATCCAGAAGTTATGGCTGCGTTCCAAGATGTTGTCCAGAACCCAGCAAATATGTCCAAGTACCAGAACAATCCCAAGGTCATGAATCTCATCAGTAAATTGTCTGCCAAATTTGGCAGTAAACCATAAAATCCCTCATTCTTAAAAATCATATCTGGATGGGAAGGATTGGATTTGGCTAACCAGTGTTGCAATAAAACAAACCATTGTACCTCTGATCTTCTTAAGAAGAGAAACGGGTAGTTCTAAGGAGAACTGCTCTCTTGCCCCAAACATTGACTTGCTTCAGTGATTGGTTTATAGCACCCAAATTATATTGAGATGACATAGTTTCAACCATCCCTCCTTGTCCAAGAGTTACAGTCTTTTATTATAAGTATTACAGACAGTTTCTTTTGAATGAACGCTCCTGTAAGAAATTGTAATATTCCAGGAGTGTAAGATAAAAACCTGCTGTTGTGTTGTTTTGGATTTTTTTTTAATTACTTTCAGTGAGCAAAGAGAAAGGAACTTTAACAGTTGAAGTCTGTCTTAATCCCCTTAGGACAGAAAAGTTGGCCTACTCACAAATAGGAAAGGTGAGACAAGTAAAGAATTAACTGGATAAAAGAATTGTTTTCAAATACAACTCCTTATGCTTTTTTAAAATGGGTGACTGACTTTACATAGCTATTAAAATTATCAGTATAACCATGCTAGCTAGTTACACACTGGAACTTCTGGCAGTACTGCAAATAATGTAATATTTTGATCACTACAACTGTGTAGCAAAGGTACAGTCCTATCCTTTGCACAACCTGGCATGAAGTATGTATTGCAGAGGCCACAGAGGTTTTGTTACTTGCTCAGTACCTTTATGTAACGTTTTATTTATCAGTCTGGGTATGGGAGAGCAGCTTACTGTCTATGCTTGTGCTCTTATCCTTTCCCAGTTGGCAGGTCCTCCACTGGTTGCACTCGCCCTTCCTTGGGGCCATGCTTACCAGATTTCATCTATTTGGAAACTTTAGGGAAGGAGTCTTGTTCCCATCACTACCTCTTGTCCCACTGAATGCAAGCCATCCAGAACATGTAAATGCAGAGTTATAAATCAGTGAAGGGGAGAATACCCAACGAAATTGCAGCTCTGGGTTCTGAGTCGGTTTGAGTCCTTACATGCTTATTGATGAAAATTTCTTGGCCAAAGTCTTGCTGTCTGTTTAGAGGTGATGACTCTTCCTTCACCACATACTGTAGTCTTCCATCTTTTCTTGTATCCTTTTCTTTAAAACAAACAAACAACTTCAAAAAATAACAAAACAAAAAGCTGTTGTCGTGGTTTCATACTTCCATGTTTTTGAGGCTTGTGATATGGAGGAAAAGGTGAAGTAATTGGAGCAGACAGAACATTCTTCTAACACTTGTGGATTAACAGCATGGGTATCTTTGAAGGAGTGTGGTGATGATGTTCAGTTGATTCATCTACCAATAAAGACAATTGTTGCTTCTGTTTGTCTTAGCTAAAGCATTATCTTTCTGTGGAAAAACGACCATAGTTACCTGTTCACTGCTTGAGTCTCAACGTTTGTCTTACTCTTTTGTAATTCTGTATCTTAAGCCATAACTGATGTTACCATTTTTAAATAAATCTGGATTGGTGTAGGAACTCAACAACAGTTGCAAAAAAATAAATCCCCAAATGCTTTTTCTCATACTAATGACCCTGCAGAATGAAATGTGAATCTTTTTGCTTAAGAAATATAGTTCTGAATACTTCTCTTAGCCTTTAAAAATAAAGTATGGTTTTCAAAAATAAAGCTTTTTGGGTTTGTTTAACTTCCTGTTTTGTTCAAATTAAGTGTGGAAGTGCTTTAATTAAACTGTATGTATAACTTGTGATTTAAATTGGAACTAAATGCTTAAGGGCTTGTCTTCGTGATGAAATGAACTCAAGTTGTTATTGAGTGTTGCAGTATGCCTGGCTTTTAGTCATACTCTTGATCTCATGTTCCCAAGAGGAGATATTTGAAGTAGGTCACCCCCTCAATAAGTAGGTCACCCCCTCAATATAGGCTGAAACTCAGCTTCTTCATTCAACCTGGTGCATACGTGCTGTGCTTGAATTAGAGTATCTTGAATACAGATATATTCCCTACAGTTTCCTGTTACTCCATCTTAGCTGTTTGTGTCTGTCCAGCCGTGACTAGTCAAAAGTGGGAAGTTACCCTTAGCTAGTAGAAGTAGTTATATCTGTGTCCTGCCTGCTTGCTGACACATCAGTTGCCCTTATTCAGAGCTGACTGACTCAAGAAAAACATTCTCCCCAATTCTGGTATTAGCATTGGCGATCTAGCTGAATTCTTGTGATCCTTTGGAAATGCATATCCTGTGACTCCACTGGTGTGTGGGTTTTTTTGTCTTCAATGTTATCCAGTAAGTTAATGAGGACATGTCTGGACCTTAACTTGGTTCCCAAAGTTGGCATGTCGACATCTAAGCAGCTGAACTGGTTTGAACAGAAGTGCGAATGCAGAAAATTTAACTGCACAGGAGGTGAGCAAATATGATAAGTTCCAGAGGTGGGATGTAAGTAGTTACATAAGGAAGTTGTTGCTTTGTTCACTGCTTGCTCCAGTATTTACTGGCAGCTCTTTCAGGTTATTTGGTTCTATTGCAGCACAGAGTAGCGGTGGTTCTTACAAGTACAGTGGCAGTAATCCACTCTGCTGACAGTTTGACTCTAAAATCTGCCAGCGTGTGTAGATAGTTCAGCGAGCACAGTGCAGCGTCAGAGGTGCTGACCCAGGTTCAGGTGTGTGTTTCTGCCGTTTGGGGCAGGTCAGGTACTGCGCTGTTGGGTCAACCCAGTGCCACAGATTAGATGACCTGGTCTGCCAGAGAGGACGGTAATAGTCCTGCAGCTGACTGGTGGTAGAGGGTCACGGCCTTGTTGCTGTATGTGTGAGTCTGAGTGACTTGTCTGTCCTCTGTGGTTCAGCTGCTGCCCCCAGAGAAAATAAACGTCCGGTCAGATGCCACTTCCAGACCATAATACTTCACAGTGTGCCCTATTGCATAGTAACATGGAGAATGTAAGGCTTTACCAGAATTTTTCTGAAAATTTCTCTCGCTTCAGTGTTGGGCTGTGAATAAAAGCTGTTTGTCAAAGTAGCTTGGTTTGTCTTTGTTGGAAGGCAATGATCAGATGGGCAGGAGCCAGACTGTATCAAAGTTGGGTGAAGGCAGGTGGGACAAGACTGGGCAGAGCAGTGACAGGCCAGAGGCAGAATGGGTCAATAAATTATATTAAAAAGCTGTGTAAAGGTAAAATTATGTGGTAGAAACAGCTTGCTGCAAGTGGCCAACAGTAGTATCTGTAGTTTAAAATATCTGTTTTTAAAAGCCAGTTCGTTTTTCTTGTTTGTTGCTTTCAGGGCCTCTGCATAAAGCTCGTACAAGCCACACTCTTGCGTATGCCTGTACATCCCTCTTCTGTGAAATGTAAAAGCAAACAATGTTGTTAACAGAGCTTGTAGCAATTGCTGTTCGAGCAGAATCCTTCGCCCAAAGGGATGGAAGGTTGGGGACCTAGCCAAGACGAGTTGGAGCCAGGTCAGCTTTGGCATGTACCTTCCTGTGGATTGTGGCATGACTGGAAGTGTTTGGAGCCCCTTTGAAATCCCATGGGGCATCCAGGCTGAGGGATACTGCAGTGCTTTCAGGGTTGTGGAGCAGTCGGGTGGTTGTAATAATGGTGGAGGCTAGAGGGTTGTTTCATCAGCTGCAGGGTAGTCTGATAGTGGCTGGTATCAGTACAGAGTGGGTTGGCATCCTTGAGCAGGAGAGCGATTCACTAGGAAAATGGTAGCAGCGTTTTCACCCGATGTCTAGAGAAAGGTGTCTCGTGAACCTTAATTGGAGCTTTGCAGAGGTGGGCCTCAACCTTACTTCATACATGATGGAGTGAGGGTAGCATTGTAGAAAAGTAATTCTGGATTACCAAAGAGATGAAATGGACTAAAACCGGCAACTTCCAACTGGATGCAGAGACCACCATGTGGAGTACTACCGGACAAGTCATAGGAGGTCAGTAGTATGGTATAAACAAATGCAAATAACAGGGGAAGCAGGTGGGTCAGGTGACGGCTGGTGGGTCTGTGCTATGGAGCCACAGACAAATTCAGGTGACTTTGGGTTACAAGTCGTTGGTGACCTTGTGAATCAGAGCTTAGGTAAGTTATATTCTCCTGGTGTGGTCCTCACAAACAGGAACCTTATGTAAGACAAACCTTCCTTCACCCCCACTGACTGGAGGTCCTACTGAATGTAAATACTGAGGACTTTCCTGTAAATCCGAATCTTGATGACTAACCAAATCAAGATGTTAACTTGTAGTCTTGCTAACAAAGTGTTATTACTGTACCTTTCTGATGTACAAATATGCTTTTGAAATGTATATTCTAGATGGATGGTTTCAGACAAGCTTGAGATCTTGTCAATAAAGAAATACATTTGCAGAATGTGTTACGACTTTTTGTTAAGTGGGTAACAAACTTTGGCACCATTTACTAAAACCAGGAGTTTTTTAATGTACAAACATTACAGTGACTACAAGGAATAAAAGTTGCTACTACATGTAAAGAAATCAAATGTGACAGATTACAGAATTGGAGGTAGCAGTTTATCGTGGAATTTCTTCCTGAAGTACAGCAGCTGGAGCAGTCAGATGGTAAGCATAATTTATATAGAATAAAGGTATTTAGAAAGACAAGGTACTTATTACTCAACTGTAACAGTCAATATTAAAGGGAATTCCACTGTTGAAACCTTTAGTTTCCTAAATCTAATGTTCTCACTCTGGTGGATAAGAGTTTCTAGAAATGAGTTAGTTTGCGTTTTGCATTTCAGGAAGAAAAGTATCATAGCAGAAAATCAGACCAGCCACCTAACAACCAGCACAGTGCTTAATAAAACTACCTTTTAAAATAGGCTGAAGGTACAAGTTATTAGGAAGTCATCAGAACTGGATGGAAAAATATCAAGATACTACATTGAGAAGGAAGTGGCTGAGCTGCTGCCAACTGCAGTGCCTCTCATTAGAGAAAATTCGTGCTGAAGCTTGCCGCTAGTCTCTAGTTCGCATTGGGAAAAGGAAGGCACCAAGCGCCACCTGTGCTTTCTTATTTTGGATTTTAAAAGATCAGTCTCAAAAAAGGCTTATTGTTAG